CCCATGGTGTTTATAAAAGCATATAATTGTTTGAAAAGCTGAACATGGAACCTTCAGACATCTGCGAATTGTACCCAAGGATGTGCCTTAAAATACTTCCACAGGTTTGCCTCCAATTAATTCAAATGTTGTCAGTTAACCTATCAAAAGCTTTCAAAGCCATGACATCATCATTTGAGCTTTCCCAAATAGTTTGAAGGCACAGTAATCTTAGTGTATGTAAACTTCTGACTTTAAAGAAAGCAGTAAAAAAACTCTCTAAAAAATTCTCTCATTATTCTGGCGTTCAGCAAATAGAAATCATTTTGGTAATCCTAACTAACCTAAAACAGGAAAAGTTTAGTCTGATTTAATGTCAGACAGTGAAAAAAAAAAAAGAGTTTATATGTCTTTTTATACAGTGGATGTAAACTTCTGGTTTCAACTGTATATTGTTTGATATGATGACAATGCACCATTTTCCTTGAGTGGACACTCATATGTACATCATCTATTCTCAACAAATGTATCATCGTTTGTCATCTAATCTGAAAGTTATATCATAAATTACTTATTAATTATCATTCTGTTTCTGTTGGTTACAACTTCGCATTTTGTGTACTGGATTGTCAAATTGTTCCCAATTGTCTTTGTTCACATTTCAGTCAGTGTGCTTTCGACCATTTAAATATGGCATTTCATGCCCATAGAGGTGTTAAATTGCCTCTTTTTGTTGTCTATTCTGTCTTTTTCCAGCCCAGATAAGGGGAGAAAGGGGGGGTTCTCACTTCATATATGTGTCTTTGGTTTAGGGGAAGGGTGTGAAGGGGAAAGGTCTGGTGTCATAAGGACCAAATTTAATTCCTCACATGATTGTATCAATTACGCTAAAATGAGGAGACAAATCATACAGCCAAGCAAATTTACTTTAAAAAGATCAGACACCCAAAGAGAGGGGGAGGTCATAAACTGTATTAAGAAATCCCCATCATAAACGTAACGCAGAGAGGACGATGATCTAAACAGAAGGTATGTGAGCGTTTCACACCCAGGATACATCCACCTTGGCTCCACTCACTGCATGACGCCTGCTACACAAGTCATGTGACAGTCTTTAAGTGATTGGGTTTCACTGAGAAATGCATTCCCTTTCTGCAGTTGTCTGCAGGCAATCATGCATCCATCCTCACGATAGAAATAGTGGGTGGTGATTTCTTTTGACGCATGTCCGCAACCCCTGTTGATTTGTTTCCTTGAAAAATGTCTGCTCCAGTAAGTGGGGAAAAAAATGGAAAAGCTCATATAATACAGTTGATGAAAGCAGACAGATCATCTTTTCAGTTCGCTCAGGCCTTTATGTCAGGTAGTGGACAACATTTCAGCATTGTGACAAACATCAATCTGCCACCTGTCTCCATATCACAACTGAATGCCACGCAACTCAAAAGCAATCATCATGTTTTACTCAAAGTATGACCAGAAGGCAAAATGCTGACTGTTTCAGCTGAAGAGTTTTGCCTTTTCTGCTGTCACATGGTGGACTAATGCCGTAGTGATAAGTGGAGCTGGAGATGCCAGAGACAGCTGCCTTTTATTTGAAATATTAACAGCTGTGAAGTTAAAGCGGGCCGTGACTCCAGATTTGATGACAGTCCGGTAGGGGTTCCTGGGATCTTTTATTTGGTCCACTTATAGGTACAAACAACATGCTTAAGATTTGTGTAAGCACACAGATAAAGATGGGCCTAGTGTGAGCTCTTTTATTAATAATAGCTTTTACCGACTATGTTCTGATACTGCTTACTAACAAGGTCCTGGTTCCAAGAGTGGTTCTGTTGTGGAATCGTGGAACCAGGATGCCACCCAGCCAACCAGTCCACATTTCTACCACTTTCTTGCAAACACACAGTTTCCGATTTCAAACTAGAAGGGAACTGATTCTATGTTGGAGGAACTGGACCCTCAAAATATGTTTAATTATTTATAAGTTTTAGGCCAAATGTTTAATTGAGGAAGTCAGAAGAGCTCTCAAACACGCCCTCTACTGGACAGCATTGGCACCCAGAAAGCTGATGGACGCTTTAAAGGTCTGTAGTATGTCCAGATCTGAACCCACCTCCACTGAAAATCCTCATATTTATCCATCAACACGCACATGACAATGATTACTGATTACTGTGCTGACTAATCTAAATAGAAGATGTCACTCTGAGGAGCTACAGTGGGCTACGGGCAGGATGAGACACGTGAACATGAAATATTATAGTCCACACACATTTTTCTTAAATTGGACACGTGGGCAGGAAGGGTGGCCATGAACTGCTGGTATATATATACATATAGGAGACCTATAAACGTGTGGGTACAGGTGAGTGGACAGTGGGGATGGTCAGGTGATCTGACCGGTGGGAAAAGCAAAACAGGTGGGAGTGGCCCATTCTGAAACGACACGAGTGTTAGGAACTGGAAAACAGCCGGCAGAACACAATGACTGCCTGACTGACTGAATGAATAAATAGATGAATCATACCTACATCTTGTATAAATGACTTGAAATATTATGAGGAGATTGCAGGTTGAAAATATAGGTCACTGGTGAAGACGATAAACAAAAGGTTCTAACAGAAACCTGCTAACACACCTATAATGAGGAAGTAATTACACTGCGTCTTAGTGTCTCTAGTTTATTAAACACATCTCTGCCTGCTCACTGCTGTTTCACGTGAACTCAGTCTAAAAGAAACAGTTCAACATTTTGGGGAAGCATTTGTCATCTTTCTGAGAGTTCGATGAGAAAACTGGTATCCTAGACAAGAGACAATTATTCTGGCTTAGCGAGTCTGGTTCTAAAGCTCACTAATGCATCCAGCACTATCGAGCATTTCGGTGTCGTCACTTTGCCTGGCACATAACTCTGCCTAAAACCACAAATTGATGTTTTCACCTCGCTGCTTGCATTCAACAAATGAGACACAGTGTGTTAATTAGCGAGGCGCTTTAGATATACTGCTAGGTGGACTTTGTAACTTTGCGGATAGCAAGGTTAATTGTTTCCCGGTGATTTCTAGTATACGTTAACTGTATACATGCTCTAGCGCTGTAATTAAGGCACAAAAATGAGGCTGGCGTTGATTTTCTTAGTATATCTTGGAAAGCAAACAAGAATGTTTTGTAAAATGTAGGTCTCTCTTGCGGTTCCCTTCCCATTTTGTGTCTATTTTTGTCAGCCCAAGTATATACAGTATGTATACATGTGCTATTTCCTTGCCTCATACTAACAACCTCTAATTTCCAGCAGTTGCCACAGGTCAGGGTTAACAGGTGATGCTGAGAAATCCAAGAGCTCAGGGGGAAATTACTTTCCTCCATTTGCTCTCAACTTAATGGCTTCACGCCTGAAGATGACATCCATTCTTCTTATATACACAAAACACACTCACACATGCTTGCACACATCCTTATATTTCGTTCACCCTATTAGCACTTTCATGAGGTTTGGCGTCAACTGTGGGTCAGTTTTCACATCAGAGCTTTGGAGACAAAGTAAGTTTTCATTTATTCCCTCTCTTTTTGCATATAACCAGCATTTGTCCACATGAGTTCAGTCACATCATCTGTGTTTAGTTTGATAACCAACCTGTTATTACCATGACTTTGAAAAGTGGAGGAAACATACCAGAATAAAGTAGTAAATCCCCAAAGAGCCACAGGCAGGACAACTGCTGCACTATTTGTGACCAGCAACCAAAATAACAGCGAGGTCACATGGGGTGGAAATAGATAACACCACCCAATGAGAGTGTGGTGTGAGGATTCTCTACTTCCATTATGAATGCCCAGAAGCTGAGTTTGCCTGCGAGAAAGTCTTTGAACGCTCTCTTGGTGACTTGATCGCAATGCTCCACTGCTACACACACACACACCATTTGGATAAACTGAATATGGCAATCTAGCACTCATCTCTGTATGACTGTTAAGCATTTTAATACTTGCCCTTTTATGTTCTGCAAAAATAGGTTTTGCTGATCTGTTACCACAAATATGAGGGTGTATTTAAAAAAAAAAAGAAGAAGAAGAAGAAGAAGAAGAAGGAGAAGAAGCAAGTGCTGGTTGTTGCAAATCAAGAGTTAAATTAATGTGAATAATCCAGCCTCTAATGCATTCTAGCATTTAATGTTGAAGGTTACTCCATTGTATGTTGTACATTTTTAAAAAAAAAATAAACTATTGCCACAAAATGAGCAAGGAAACCCAACAGAAGTTTAATTTTAAATACCACTATAGATATCTTTTTGCTTTTTTTTTTAGTTTTGCTGCTTTAAAGATGCAGCAAACATACCAGTGACACAAATATATTTATATTTACAGAAAATAGTGATGTTTTCATTGTGCTCTCAATCATCTTCTTTGCAGAAATATATAAAAAATTCAATTGCAGACAAAAACACGTCTTAAAACAGCATCTTCCTCTTTCAATGAAAGCATGTAGTGCTGCAAGTCTTTCCTGTAAAGGACCACTTCCTAATAACACACAGTTTAAGAAAACAGAAAGAAGCAGCACTGTCTTAGAACGGAGGGGTAAGTGACAGCTGCATCCGCTGACATTTTCTTTAATGTGTAGCTGCTGGATCTTTGTGTATCTGAAATATGGCTTTAAAGTTCTATAGCTGGGGAGGAAAACTATATATTCACTTATTCATCCTGAGACTAGAGCTGCAAGGTGGCTCGGCAGTTAGCACCATTGCCTCGCAGCGGTTCACGTCCTGGTGAGGACACCCACGATCTTTCTGCGTGGAGTTTGCATGTTCTCCCTGTGCAGCGTGGGTTGTCTCTGGGTTCTTCAGCTTCCTCCCACAAGGTCCAAAAACATGTTGAGGTTAATTGGTGATTCTAAATTACCCGTAGGTGTGAATGTGAGTGTGCTTGGTTGTCTGTCTCTAAGTGTGGCCCTGTGATAGACTGGCGACCTGTCCAGGGTGTCCCCTGCCTTCACCCTAAGGCTCCAGCAAGGCTCTAGTGAGGATTAAGTGGTGTATAGATAATGGATGGATGGATGGATGGATGGCTCCTGAGACTACATATCTCTTTTGTACTCATTTTCAATTATTTTATCACAGTTCTACCAAAGCAAAAGGAAGATGACTTTGATCTACTTGGTGATTTTCTGGTTCTTTTTGAAGACCAGCAGATGCCAGCTTCAGTGTGTTCAAGGTTTGATACTTTGTGCATTTACACTATAGTACATAAATTTATATCAAATGAAAATAACCAGTGTTTATTAAAACTTTGGAAATAGACATTGTTTTGCTTTCTTTGACAGAAACCTTTGATGACACAGAGTTTTCCATCAATGTGACAGAACACATTCAATTGGAGTCTAGCAGCTGTCATGAGATCCCATACAAACTGACCTTTCTAACAAACAACGTTACAGCTCCCTATGAAGTGATATGGTTTGAAGGAGATCCAGCAAATACTGTGGCAGTAGCAGTTATCTCAGAGGTGGAATCTGAGACACAAGACTCATTCGAGATATATGGCCTTCCACAGGGAGAGTATGAGTATGGCCTCAAACTGGAATGGGGGTGTAATCAGACATATATTTTTCCCAAGAGAGTTCACATCTCAGTTTCTGGTGAGTGATACACCTCCTGACTATCTAATGTTGATTAATTTTATTGCACGAGATTAAACATATATTACAAAGCATCTTTAGGCTCAGTACAGTATACTCTGAATAGTGATCATGCCTTAAAGCTCGATTGCTTCCCCAAAGACTGACTAACGAACCAGACAGATAGTGTTCAGAAGTGAATGTGATGACATTTAATATACACTGAACCATAATGGAAACGCAGCATGCAGCATGGTTTGTCTCTTCTGATTTACAGAAAAATGTAAAAATATAATTTCTATTGTTCATGTTAGAAAATTGTTAAATGTGGCCAACTGTGCACAAAAACTTTATAAGCTGTTCATAGGGTGACATTGGAATGTCCACCACTCCACCATTCATAGTCTAAGATGTCTGCCAACGTTGCTAAGCCCTTCAGGAAGAACCAACAGCTTCATTAAAACTGAACGTTGTGTGACTTGTTAGTTCACAAACACAGTCTGCATCTGCTCATTTTTATTTCCTCTCTTGTGTACTTGGCTGTTTGATGCTGCCCATTTTGTTGTAGACATGCTTTGTGTTGGAACAACAAATACCTATGCCCCATTTTTTAAGAATTGATAGAATTGAATCAAACGTTTAGATTAGATTTAACTTTATCGTCATTGTACAGAGTAAAAGTACTAAGACAATAACAAATTTAGCATCACACCAGAAGAACAAAAGCAGCAGTATTGTGGATTATTTACAGTATGGTCTATGTTACTGTATAGACAGTATGGATGGACAGAGTGCTATGAACACATTAATATAATGTAATGAATATATAGGTGTGAATGCAATATAAAATGGATAATCTAAGTCTTCAGGGAGAGAAAAAGTAGTTAGTACAGTATAAACAGCATGAACAATGTATTAATTGACAGTATTAATGTATGAGATATCTGCAGCATATAGGATGAACAGTACATGCTGCATTTATCTGTTCAGCATAGTTTGTTGTCTGTTTGTCTGTGACGGCTATAGTACAATATACACCAGATGCTAACATTGATCTGTTCATTTTCAGAATTAACCCAAAAACCAGATATTTGGGTTCCTCACATGGTGGAAGGAGAAGATGTCACAATAACATGCATAGCTGAACGTTTATGCTACGGCGAAGAAGGTATCCACTGGAAATGGACAAAAGCTGATGGAGTGACTACAGTGATTCATGATGATGATCATTTCTCATTTCACTGGAGGAATACAAATGCATTACACCTCAGTCCTACCGCAGACGATCACAACAGCAACCTCACATGTGTGGTTGAACATACACATGATGTTGTTGAAACAACTGTCACCTTGAATGTGCAATGTAAGCAGCAGCAGTGTTTGTGTGAATTATACCCTATTATGTTTGCCTGTCATGGACCAGGAATCTGCTGAATTGCTGAGCAGTTTTGAGTTTCTTTCTTTCAGATTCACCTAAAATCCTAAATAGCTCCGAGTGTAGGACTGAAGGGAAGCTGCTGGTCTGTACGTGCATCAGTCAGGGGAATCCTCTGCCACCGATCACCTGGCCGTTGGACACCCTCACAGATTACTCAGTCAGCAGCTTCAGTAGCATCCAAACAGTGACCAGCACCATCATCCTGCCTGCCGCTGACTACCACAACGCCACTGTCAAATGCAGCAGCAGCAATGAAGTGGGCCTGTCTGCAATTGAAATTCCAGTTCCAAATGGCACAGAGAATTTAAGGCTGGACCGTGAGTAGCTTGTTGTGTCTGTACAGTTATGCAAAAGTTTGAAAGATTTTTAAAATGACTAATATGCAGGAATTAGGATCAAGGAGCGTCAAAGTCTGAGCACAAATATTTTTTGGTTAGATTCTGTTGGTATACAAATGGTTTGTTACAGTCCAAACTGTCTGTATTCTTTAGCTGGCGTGGATTTGAACCATGAGTATGATGCAGTCTTTCCTTGGATAATTGTTGGTGTGTCTTTAAGTCTGAACCTGGTCCTCCTCACCACCCTGATCATCTGCATTCGTAAAGGGTAGGTACATAAAGTTACGTTAAATTCAAAACCTGCAAACTGTAAGAAAAATATTAGATATTCGATATAAGATATTGTGTGTTTTTGTAAATTTGTAGGCGTAAAAGTTCTCCGAAGGAACTTTGTGAAGAAATGAACACTTACGCTTCTCTGAATGTCGCGGATGTTGAGCAACCCTACGGCAATATCTCCTTATCAAACCAACGAAAATGAGTTTTCCTTTAGTTCACTGAGACACATTATTTTAGCAGAAGATGATTTCAGTCCTAGAGTCGTGTTTTGTTTTCATAAATATATTTTGGTTTTGATATTTAAACTTACTGAACATGAAACTGAAATTGATTGCTGTAGACTGATTCAATGATGATATTGTTGACACAGATCACTCTTCACTGTTTTATTTTGTTGGTTAATGTCAGTCATCTTGTATAAAGCAACCGAAAGGTCTACCTGGGTATTTGGCATTTATCAGATGTTTGGAGGACAGTTAAGTCACCATATTAAAGAGTGAAGGAGGGTTAGAGGGACTCACTTCCGGAAGGAAGTGCTACTCTTAGTCAAACTGGGTTAAGGTCTGCATGTCACTGTATGCATACAACCCCAACGCATTTCTATATGCTGTAGAAGGTTACATAATTTCCTGTAAATGACCACATCCTGATATGTGTTTTGAGAGATACTCTCACCTCCATTTTGTCTCTGGTTTTTGTTATTTGTGTCATTTCACAGTCAGCTTCACACGAGACAAAGATGGAAGCAAATTCCATGTACAGATACATGCAGTAAATAACAGCTGGTATGTGTATTACAACTAAAATATCTGCTTTGATATGTCTTTTTACATTCTTATCATTTATTTATTTATATTATGTATTTTGTTCTTTAAATTTTAATTTTATTTTACATACGGCCTTTAATACTTTAAAGTTTTAAGTTTTTAACCCCAGTATTTCATGGGGGCTGTGTCCGGTCTGCTGCTGGGGGTGCTGTCTGCGGGTCCCTTCGGCTGGGCTGGTTGGGAGGCTCCCCACCTCGGTGTGGGGGTCCCCTTGTCTGTCAGGGTCAGGGGAATCCGGGTGTCGGCACCCCCACTGGTCATGGTCTGCGACTCCTCCTCGTGTGGACGGCCCCAATGGTAGCGTTTCCCACAATCCTTAGTGCCATGCCATGCTTCCCTAAGTCCAGTGGTGAGACTGTGTGTGTGTGTGTGTGTGTGTGTGCGTGTGTGTGTGTGTGTGTGTGTGGGTGTGTGTGTGTGTGTGAATGTGTGTGTATACATG